GGTTGATTGACCAGATGTTTGGTTAAACCGATCGAAATCGTATGTCACTCTGCGACATTTGGGACAGGATGTCTGCTATCGGTAAAAATCGGGAAATATCAGGAAAATCCGTGTTATTCAGAAAAATCCGGTAAATGTCAGGAAATTCAGTCATGGATTAAATTCTGAGTGCTTTGCAAGCATTTTTCAAACATTTGATTCAATTCATCAAATGTTAAGGAATTAAGGCCGGAAGGAGTCTGTTCAGTGGAGCCACTCGTCAGTTTCGTGAAAACTTGTGTCCTTATCGGGATTCGAACCCAAGATCTATGGACCTAACCAAACGTGCTGACCACTAGGCCAAACTGGCCGCGGCTATTTTAACTTTGATTTATTTTCGTCCCTCCTCACAGACATTTTACGCACTTTCCGCACTCGAAAAACCTCGGTTGACCTAATGCCAAGATTCTCGGTCCTGGTTGCTTGCAGAAAACTTAGCATATAGTTTTGAACCTCCAGAAGTTTTTCCAAATTTTGGCAGACGGCACCAAGAAGTTCCTCGCTCCTGCTGCTGAATTATTTGGGGGTGTGGATAACATTGCCAAATATTTCACACCGTGTGTGATAGTTAGAGTTTTGCAATTCAAAAACGTACTTTCAAGAAAACCGTTTGACAAGCTAATCCGTCATGTTCAGGACATGAAATTTCAGGATTGGATTTACAAGATTACGATGTGGTATGAGAGATCATTCACAGATCCGCGATGATGCAAAGGGTGCCAGCTCGTGGTTCCTTTTCGCAATAAGTGAATCTCTTATGACGCATTTAACACTAAGAAATCACAGGATCATAGTACATCTGACACCGAGTCACATGAGAATTTACGACCTGTTTCTCAAAATACTCCGATCCGTGCTCCTTTATCAGCTAACTATACTGATCCCTATTTCCTTCAAATTCTGGGTTCTTATCCACGGAGAAAATTTGATGACGGGGTTGTTGAATTATATGGACGTTTCTAATTAATTGTGGTGGTATCCCACTTAATTCGTAGTTCTCCAATAAATTAGGTTACGAAATCAAATGTTGCAGTACAACCACAATCAATTGGAAATGTGACAAGGGGTATACTGTTCTACGAATTGGACGTATTTCTATCAAACGGGACTATGTCCATTAAGACATGAGCCCTGAAGCCCATAGGAATATTCGCATGACAGGGCTCACTTCATAATGCAAATAGTTCCGTTTGATAGAAATACGTCCAATTTTCATCTAGCCCGGAAAAAAAGGATGGGGTTCTTGGATGATATGGACACTTCAAATTAATTGTTGTAGCACCCCAATAAATGTATGTGTATAAAGCCGCTTTTGGCGCTCTGCGACCCCTAGCCGCCAAAGTCCCCTATCCTCCCAAAGCCCTTCAGGGAGTTGACAAACCCTCATTTCTTCTAAAACTTTCTGTCGCCACCCTTTCACTGGGCGTCCCCTTCGTCTCCTCCCAGGAGGAACCCAATCAAGCAACTTCTTTGGCAGCCTTACCCAACCCAATAAATCAGGCTCCCAAACTAACCCAAATTTTGCAGTTAACCCTGACTTTAAATGCGATCCTACCACAATTAATCGGAAATGACCATATCATCCAACAAATTGGGGTAACATCACAGTTGTAGGGGATAGCCCCTGGCTTTTTTCTGTGCCTTTATTCCTATCGTTTCCTGTAATGCTACTTAGATCGTGCTAAGGAAGAACAACCGCAGTTCATTCGAATGCTTCCAATTATCCTCTGATAAAATTTTCATTGTAGAGAAAAGTCATGCATATATTTTTCCGTCGATACTCTAAAAAAACTTAACGGTTTACATTATTTTAAAATTTTACAGTGAAAGATTATCCGGTTCTGCAGATAATCCGTATTTTTGTCGGAAACTTGGCACCGATCGAACGTTTGCACGACGTTTTTCTTTGCACGGCAGAGTACACCTATCCCGACCTGCAAGTGCCATTCTAAACGAAACGATTCAATTACTCCGCTGACGTCACGCTGAAACCCTCCATCTTGCCGCGCGCGCGTGGCATCCTACGACTTCAGGTGAAGAGCCCGAGTATTTCGGAACAATTTACTCCGGGGGGGGGAGGGGGGAGACCCACCTTGGAGCCGAGTCGGCGAAGCTCTAAGCGTCTTTTCCGCTACCCCCCTTATTTATATTGACGGCACTCCAAACGTCATGCGTTTCCGCGTCGGGGCGGGCTTTCTCTCGAGTTCCCGAGAAATTAAGATGCATACGAGAGCTATTTGGACGTATTCCTGCTAAATGGAGCCAGAGACAAGTGGGAAATAAGGGGTGTGCTCGTTAGTCAAGGGCCGTGAGAATGAATGGGAGTTATGAAGCACCAGTGACGTCAGCGGCGACGCTTCGTCGCCGCGGTCGCCCTTCCCCCGCTTCAACTCATGAGCCCTGTCCACAACGCTCTTGTCAAATGTCCATGGCTCATCAGTTGACACTTGAGTAGAATGCAAAGTCCGGGTTTTCCATTGCTCCAAAGGGAATCACGCCCAGTTTTACATTTTCTCGTGTGCGGCTTTCTAGAGAGTACCCCATCTTTCACCCCACTCGTCTAAAGTTCCGTTCAGCAGAAACACGTCTGTTTGGCGCGGAGCTATGTGGCAATTCTGAATGCGTCTTGATGTGAGCAACCGATTCCAGAGCAAATGAGCGCGGGAGATCCATGTTGAACTTTCACAAGCTAAACAATTGAATCGCGACCTATTCGAGAGGAAGAGGCGATGCCGTCAAATTCTTGCGAAATCTAGACGAAATCTAAGCGGTTCGTGAAATGGACTGCATTTTGCAAAAAGGAACCAGAAGAATTGCAATGATGCTTAGATTGTGCAACTTTATCCTATGCAATACAATTGCTGAAATTATGGAAAAAAAAACTATATTTACATGCTAATTTTTGTCTTAAATTTACAGTTTTTAGTAAGTAAAATAGAAACTATTAATGAAAAATCAGGTTTCTCTTCCGAGACAAAGAAGTTGTACAGTCTTAGCAACATTGCAACGCACCTGGTTCCTTTTTGCACAATGCAATCCAAATCTGTGGGGAGCGAGCCATAGAAAGGGTACAAATGAATCTACTTTGTGTAATTTTCTGAAGATGAGGAGGAGAAGGAGGAGAGGACGAGAAGGAGAAACGAAGATATTGCAGTAGAAATTGAGGTGGAGGAGCTGTTCTTCCATGCTAAGGAAAAACGGCGTATGAACCTTCAGGCGTTGCCAAATTTCCTTTGATAAATCACAAATATCCTGGTAAACTTATGAATATTTCCCTTTCGCCCTGGTAAAAATTGGCGATAGGAGCTGAGTTTCAAAATACCATAGGAGTTCTTATAGCCGACTGAAGAGGGCGATAGACAATCATATAGCTGGCTGTAGAAGGTGGAAAAAATCATACGGCCGAACTACACGAAGCGATAAAAAATTATACAGCCGGGCTATAGTTCCTATCGCCGGGCTTTACACTTTATCGCCTGGCTGTTGCTTTTTCGCCATCGGCTATAAAGGGCTATATGAAATTGTGTAGAAATTCGTGTGCTTTGGAAATCATTAAGTTTGATACGGAACCACCTTAATATTTACAAAACACACATTATATTTTCCTTTACTACATATTTTGTTTCATCAATTAAAATGAGAATAATCCATACAGAGTGTGCAAACATTTCAAAGTCATGAGTTGAAAAACGCTGACTCCGTGAGATTAAATATTAGAGCCTAACACAAAGCGGAGCGGCGCGGCGGCGTTACAAACCTAACAGGGATACTTCACGCATTGCGCAATGCGTGAAGTATCCCTGTTAGGTTTGTAGGCGCTAATGCGCGTTCAGCGCTGACTGCTAGCGTACCGCGGCGCTTGAAGCAACTATTTCACACCAGAGGTATTGCACAGTATCATACGAAATTGAAGGCACTCCAACATATTAGGAATGGCAGGCATCCTTCAAAAGTACGGAGCTTTCCTCGCAAATTAAATCAAGATACTGCGGCCCAAAAAGAGAGCGGTAGTCCAAAAACTCACTAAGTCCTAGCATCCGTAATTAGTAACGTTTAGCATACACTTTATCGCCAGGCTGTTGCTTAGTCGCCATCGGCTATAAAAGGCGATAAGAAATTGTGTTGCCGGCTATATGTAGAAGCTATTGGAAATCTTACAGCCGGCTGTAGGTCTATGGTATTTTGGAACACAGATCCTACTGCCAATTTTTACCAGTGCGATTTTTCAGATAAATTTTGTTCGCAATTTCACCTAAAGTCCCTGAAAATGTCAAGTAAAAATATTCAAAACTTTCTTCCAAAACAAACATTTAATTGAAGGAAATTTGGCAGCTCTCGTATTTTCTAACCGCGTTCTTCCTTAGCATGGCAATGTTTCTCTCCATCTCTTGCTTGCAATTAGCTCAAACTAGGCTTTTGCAGACTCCAGCGCCAAATGATATACTTCCGTTAAACTATAAATGATTTTATGAGTATGTTTTCACTCTATCTGATAGGGGGCTATTTGAATCGCGTATAGCAGAAAGGAACCAAGCCACATCAGCTACAGTCAAAATCTACGCAGTTTAATTTTTTACAAGAGGATGTTTGTTCGGATTCCTTTGAAGATCTTCAGGAATTTGCTCCGAAATTGAGAAATTGCAGAAAATTCACTGAAATTTGCACAAAAATCCGCACGACCGTTTTCGTGTAAAAAATTAAATTGCCTCATTAAATTTGGCAGTAGCGAACGTGACTTGATTCCTTTCTGCTTAATGCGGTCCAATTGTAAATGTCCGCAAGAAGAGGTGCCGTAGCGCAAGGAGGCAATGATTTCAGCAGAGAAGTTTTTGACGAGTCGGAAGCTTTGACATTTTTTGACGGAGAACTTTCCTGCGTTCCATAGAATGGATGTTTTGCATCAGAGGTCAGAGTTTCAACGGATACTCTCATGAATTCACTAATGGGCCAATTTTTTGATTTCAGATTGATCAGCAGCTCGAAAAAATGTCTTCATGATGGGCATATTTTTACTGCTTCTGGTGATCTGTCGGTGCCTAAAAGTTTACTGCAGTCTTTATAGTGGTGAGTATTATACGACATTAACATATTTCATTGAATATATGATTTTCCTTCATCTGATATCAGTTCTTTCTTTTTAAGCCTTCACTCTACTTATTGGTGCACTGGAAAAAAAAGTAGCTTGGGTCTAGAGTCCAGACTCTTGAAAACAATGACAAGAAAAAATACTCTTGATTCAATCTGCTTTTTGCTTGAATCAAAAGGAAATCCGCTTAAACTAAGAGACTTGGTTCTCGATTTAAGCAAAAATCCGATTGAAGCAGCAGTATTTTTTCTTTTCAACGTTTTTAACAGTCTGGAATTTAGATCCAAGCTACTTTTTTGTCCAGCGTGTCATGTATTTTCTCTATTTTAAATTCCTTTGCACTTAAGTTATTTATCCCGTGGGCGGCCGTGGGGAGTATCTAGAACCCTGTCGTCCGTTGACCTCAGAGGACAACGAACTGATGTTTAAAGCCAGTCAGTAATTAAAGATGGATTAATAATCCGGTCATTACTTAACTCTTGAGAACAAGAAGACAACTTCAGTCTTATACCGCTACACTCAATTTTTTTCTCTTTTTTTTAATTAGAACAGTTTCCAAAGTTTAAACTAATGGGATGCGGCGCTGATCTCGACGCGGAAGAGAAATAATTAATCGCTTGATTGCTCTAGAAAATGGACGCTTCGCGACACCTTCTTTTTTTACGCTGCGAAAAGCCACGAGTTGGGAAATTGGCTCTTCGTGGCAAACAGCATCGATGCCATTTCTCTCGTTGAATTGTCCGAATTCTGATTAAAATATTGACCGTTGTTGCATTACTTTTTTTACACCATGTCACAGCTGAAAATAAAGCTTGCCAAGTTTACAGGTAAGTAATCTCAACTCTACATCAAGCCCTGGACTTTAGGTATTTCTGAAAAATTATTTTTAGTAAACTTTACGATATAACGTGACAAATATATGAAATCACTACCTATTCTACGCTTGAGAACGCGAACTTCTTTTCTTTATATTTTCCCTGAGCATGGTCCAATTTTTTTTTCTTTTTCTTTTTTTTTTGTACACGTAATACATTGCAAAGCAAAATTATAATTAGCTGTAAGGACTCAAACGCGAATCACATACATCCTCTACTAATTAAAACGCTTTTCTCATTTTATTTTTACGAGAACAACGAAGTACACGCATGAATATCTGTGAAGATCTCTGAACGTAACGAGTGAAATTCCGAATGCTTTAACTCGAATAGTAGCTGCTTAGTGGTCTCAATGATAAATTGGTATAAGTTTGTAAGTTTTGTAAGTCTAGTTTGGTAAGTAGTTCAACTTAGAAGTGAACAGTGAAAAAACGTTCAATATCGTGATCCAACTGACAAGTCAAAATGTCGTTGTCTCATTCCCTTGGTATTGACCATGAAATGCCGTCAGGCCAAAGAAAAACGCCGTTTGAAAATTGAAGCGTTACCAAATCTCCTCCAAAAAATATTTCTGCCTCAGATCAGATACGAATTTTTTTTCATCTACTCTTCAAACACACAACACATTAAATTTTGTGATAAAAGGCTCGTACAATATTTTCAAAGGAAGAAAGAAAAAACAAGCAGTGAACTCCAACACAATGTGTTGATAAGGCGCGTCATTAACTCGCACATATCAACCCCTTTAGTTTTCATTTACAGAGATTTCAAAATAGGCAAACAGCATAAAAAGAGAATTCACGATCCAACACTGCGAGGTCAAAGACGCACCTTGACGAGACCGTGTATTGTGAAAGTAGAAAGCTATTCGATCGAATTTAAGTTTTTTGATCTGCCTCAAGCAAAATCTTATCAGATTCTTGAAGAAAAGTGCTACGGAATAATTTAAGCGAAGAAAGGAAAAATTCTGTCGAACTCCTAGAAGATAAAGTCGATTTAAAGGTATTTTGGGGCTAAAATACCCAAATCACCGGTAGTAAAAATCCCGTTATATTATTGAAAAGAAATTGACTCGATATAAATGCAATTGCATTAAATACGTCTTGATTTTGTTATTTTAAACGTCTTTCCATGCAAAGAAGTTCAACCATGTCGTTGCTTTATTCATTCATGAATTGAAAGTAAGCAATCTACATCCCGAAAATCTACTGATTTGCCGTAAAAAATTGCAGAAACTTGATATACCAGGTCGATGCACCCACTCGTTGAATTTACCAACCAATTTTGTGAGTGCAAATGTGTAAGAATCAATATGCTATAGTCATTTTGGGTGCATTTATTTTTCATGAAACAATAATAATTTCAATCCCGAAAAACCATCAATTTTCCGTATAAAATCGAAAAAATCAAAATATGTCAACTCCCCGACGTGAAAATTAGATTCTACGTATGTAAAATGTAAATACTTATGTATCGATATGCTGAACAGAACTATGTGTGGACAGTCAGAAGCCCGCGGCAACATTAATTCAACAGAAAAACTGTAAAAATTAGATAGGATTTTAGCCGCTTTGCCCGCCTCTCCTCGCTACTTACAACAAACCGTTCTTATACTCATCTCAAAATTTTTCTCAGAGCTTTGGGTTATTATCAGCTTCCATTTAAACTCCGGTTCGATGGCCGAATCGGCTGCCAAAAAAGCAAGCCACTGTTGAGGGGTTCTATGAGAAATTCGTGATATTATCGGCTCTCAGGAAATCACCCCATGGCTAAAATTGGTGGTATAAATGTTTAAGTGCTTAAAATAATCGTATTCAAGAAACTAAGGAATTAAACTATGGAGTCAATTTCTTTTTAATAATATAACGAATTTACTACCGGTGATTTAGCTATTATAGCCCCAGAATACTTTTAAAGCGCCTTTGCGTTCCAGAATCTCGACGGAATTTTTTTTTTTTTTTTTTTTGCTTAAACGATTCAAGAAACATTGTAGTTAAAAATATAAAGATTTTTCGATTTGGACGTATGAAAAATGTTTAACTCGTTCAGGCACACCGTGTATTGTATGGAGTACTGCTGTTATTCGACCGTTGTCTTCAGGTCAAAATTCTTACAAAGAAGCCCCTTGCAAGAGGCAAATTTTTTGTAATTTCTCCCAGTTTTTTCAGCGTTAGGTATATAAATGAATTGTTTGTCAAATTTTGAGGTCAATTATATTTAATTGTAATTTATACTTTCTTTTTTTCCCCTTCATTTTATTTTTCGTATCGAGGAGTCGAGGTTTTGTTGATTTCTTCGGATTTCGATTACTGTAACTTCTCTTCTATTCGGCCGATTTTTATGAATGAGGTCTCTTTTTATTTGTGTTTTAACGGAGAGTAAGGAAAAAATTGCTAAATACATGCGAAACAATTTTTTTTGAAAATTGGATGAATCCTAGCGTGACGGTGAAATGGTTAATGAAGCGTGAGTAATTGGGGTACGGGTATCGGCCGCGTTGGGACCCAAGGCCCATTGTTCTTCGTGACGCCGACGCAGTGATCAGGAGCGTGGGGACGAGAGGGCTTAGTGGACTCCTGTATGAGCCACGTTTAGCAAATGGTCTAATGAGTCTCGAGGCTCATCACAGATTGCACTTACCACTATCCTGGTGGCCCCGGCTATCAGAGCAAGGAGTACCAACTTTTGAAAAGGATAACAGTGTTGTGGAGATATGTCAAAGCAACGTTGTGAACAAAACGGAGTGAGTGAAATTCTCATTCAAGGAGTGCCGAACTGGTCAGCCATCCTCGAATCAGTTCGCTTGCTTCCGCTTATATATGCATATTTTAAATCAGCGCGCCCCATTCTAAGGTTTTTTTAAAAAAAACCAAGAAACGTAGACTCTTGGTATTCATTACACATAAACTAGCGAGCCCCAGAATGAGAAACAAATTTTAATCATTATTATTGACGGATTAGTAAACTTTTTACACGCTTTGGAAAATCTCAGAAGTTCGCGGTAGTCACTTTTCGGTAAGGAACTAGGGGACTCGGTTATTGTATCGAGGGGGGGGTCGAAACGATCGCAAAGGCGGTATACTACGTATACGCGCCAAAAACATGAATCGTAAAAACGAACGAACGAACCAAAATTGGCTTTTTCTGCAGGTATATAGCACTAAATGTTCACACAGCATCCATCTTCATCACAGCAGAATGGTTTTTGAGCCAATAATCTTGGTGACATGTTGGTTGTTGGGCTAGACAAAGACCTCATTTGGAGCAGTTCAGTTCCTATACCCATAAACGCACTGAAAGATCCAAAAATTCATTGAAGCGGATGCGACCTACTTCAATGACTCAATTTTGAAACAGATTTACCTTTGAACTTGCGATACATTGAAGAATCACTTATTAAAACAATAAAGAAGAGAGGAAAAATTAAAAAACTTCGGATCGCTTCGAGATCCGATCGGTAGAACTTTTAATTGATCCGAAGCAAAACTGAAAATGCTTTATGGCTGCTTTTATCTCGACTGAGACATTGAATTATTCGACTGCAAATGTGTCATCCGGACGAAAAACTGCTTCCGAATCGAAGAACCGAGAGAAGTACTTTCAATAATCAAACCCGGAATTTTTTTCGCCTGATGCGACAATCCAGCACCCTTTGACGTTGTGAAATTCTAATCAAGAAATTGAATCGCACGAGTGAAAACAGAGAAAGTCGAAGGGACACGGTATCCATCCATCCTTTCGCTTGCTTTTCGCTTTGACTTCGCACAATGGGGCTGTTTTGATCGAACGCCATGCGCGAAAGAACACCATTTGTTTATTTTCTGTTTAATCTTCTTGTTTATTATTTTTTTTTCAAGCATGGACTGCTGAGTATGTTTATCGGTTTTATATTCTGAAAGTGACATCCTATCGAAATTGAGTGTATCGGACATCGATTCATTGATAAAGCCTCCACCTGCCTGCTTTTTACTGAGCCTCGTACAAAAAGACTGCGTATGCGCGGAGAAGAAGACTCATATATTTTTTTAATTTCCTTGTTCATTTTCATTTTTTGACTTACAGACTACGGAAGTACGTCTGTTGGTTTTAGTTTGCAAGGAAAA